TTTTATTTCGTTTGATCAACCTATTTTCTGAATAAGTATCTTCTTCTTCAATATCATCGCTGCTAATTTACAAAGAGGTTTTTCTGTCTATATGATAATAATCAGGATCTTCTAGAGCATCTTTCTGGTAGATGTTTTCATCTTCTTCCATTTCTAAAATTTGTTCATGTAATTCATGGGGTACTTCTAAGGTATTTTTCTGATTGATGACTTCCTCCATTTGTAAGAGTTGGTCTGGTAATTGATGTAATTCACTGCATACTTCTATGGTTATTTTTTGGTTGCTGTCTTCATCATCCTCTATTTGTAAGAGTTGGTCCTGTAATTCGTGTAGTTCACTGTGTACTTCTAGGGTATTTTTCTGGTTGATTTATTCATTTTCCTCAGTTTGCAAGAGTTGGTTTTGTAACTCAATGAATTCACTGCACATTTCGTTAGTGAAGCTGTTATCTCAGGAATATCAAGAATTAACACATCTGAAATATTAGGGGTTTGATTTTCTTTTGCAAGATTCTCGAACATTTTCTTAAAAGATTATGGCAGTTCTCCATTTTATGTTCAGAAAAGTAACAACTTTGAATACTTGTTAAGAAAATAACTACACCATATTAATACGACAAGTGCCTAAATTATTCCTATTTATTTAAATCAGGAATAATTTGAGAACAGTCAAAATTTATTCTTATTAATAATAATTAATCTAGAGCATTATTACTGAATAATATCTAGAAAACTTTAGCAAAAATAACTGTTAAGTTGAAAAATTAAAATTTGGTGGATATTAGGAAAATGTAACTCCACCAAAACAACTAATGATGAGAAATAGAAAATGTCGTGTGTCCCGCGACAAAATATTAAATCTTTGCAGCCTTGGCAATTTTATTAATAGCATTCAAAATATATAATATTGTTGAATCATTATTATATAGACTTATCGAAAACGTTTACAGTCAATTTCAAAACAAAAATACTAATAACTTATTGTAAAACGGGACAAAATAAGACACACAAATCCAAGATGTAAACTTTCATAAGATTTGACGGATTAACTTTTTCATTCCGTGTTTTTGAAATGTGGGACTTGCGACCTCTGCTTTTTAACGCCCAACATATATAATTCCGTTGATAATCAAGTAATCTACAATTTTAAATTAATAGGTATTGACAAACGCTGCTAGATGGTGCTAAAATCTAAATTTAGACTATAAGTGGACTTACAACATTTGCGAAGTAGGGTAACGATATATTATAAGTTCGCTTCTGTCGTGTTACTGAACTTCTTTTTGCTCCATTTGAAATTGGTCGACAAGGTGTTGATATCTAGTTACCTATTAGTATGGTAACCAGATTTATTTGCAGAAAAGTAGGACAACCAGGACAAAAAGCCTGATTTTAAATAAAAAAACCTGACATTTAACAAATATATTTATGAGGGTTCGGAGGATATATATCAAGTGATATATATCATGATATATATCACGATATATATCACGATATATATCATGATATTTATATCTTGATATATATCCGATATATTCGATAATTCTATTTATTAAATTAAAAATGTTTTCCAACATTCTGAACATCCGAAAATATCAATACGCCCCTGAATAAAAGTACAATAACTAGCGATTTATAGGTATTTGTGTTAAAATATTAATGTTAATAAAATAATGTTAAAATCTGTTTTTTTTTTTAATTTGAGTAAGAATAAATGGTTTTTTTGTTTAGGATATCGGTTTTTGTTAATATGTTCCTGTTAAAATTTAAAATATAGCTTGTGCAAGAAACAATACTGTTTTTTAATTCAATAATTTAATTTTAAAAATGATATATATCGGATATATATACGATATATATATATATATATATATATATATATATATATATATATATATATATATATATATATATACATAAAAACGTGCATTAGGAAGCCCAAAATGTTAAACTTTGCAGGTCTTCCTAAGCCCAAGCTGGTTTTACGAAGCCCAAATCGGGCTTCGTAAAAACTACGTGTATAATTTCTCTGTTATGTCTACTGGATCCATCTGATGGATTTTACAAAAAAAGGTGGGGACTCGTAAATCCTGATTTTATTGCAAAAAATACATGGTTAGTGCTTTACAATTCACTGCAGAGGGCGTAGTGAAGCCGTCTGAATATACGTTATATATATTTTACGGTTCCTACGAGTCCCGGAGGTTTCGCTATACATACGAAGCCCTTGATTTGGCAACGTTGTATTCCAATTTTTAAATGAAGGCATTACGTTATTCTAGAGTTCTTAAGTTTAACAAAAATGGAAATTTAATAAAATAATGCTATCTGCACTTCTTCTATTCACAAATTTCATAAGTGTTAACATTTTTAATTATTAATTTTTATGTTCAACTGAAATTATAAATAATAACTAAAAACCAAATTTTAAATTATAAATACTGTATTCTATCATAAAAAGACCTTTAGTGTTTTAAAAATATTTTTGGCAGCTTTTGGAGGATTATCCTAACAAATTTTTTAAAAATTAAAATTTTAAATATTTTTTAAATGAACGTTAAAACGTTTTATAAACTACTTTTCTTCAAATCAACTTTTACAGAATTTTTCTCTTTTCGAATATGTCTATTTTTTGCTATTTTAATATTATAATATTTTATAAATTATAAACTAACCTTTATAAAAAATGTTTTGTTTATCTATAAATTCATAGTGATAAAAACTAATTAAATGTTTGGATGTCAATTTGAAAAGTTAGGCGAGTTGAACAAGGAATCATTTTTCTAAGAATACATTAATTTAGATGTTTATCTCAAAAATTGATCAAGTTATTGCTTCTTCATCGAGGTTAAGAAAACACAAAGGAGGTACATAAATGAAAATAGATCAATAAATAAACAGTTTAAATTTTAATACGTTTAAGGTAAAAAATACTGTATAAAAATAAAGTAGTTATAAACTGAGGTTGCATGCATTTAAAAGAACAAATAAATAATAATGTTAACAATAGACTTAAGATAACCTAAAAGAGTTATAAACCAAAGTTTTAACTTTGACCCAATCTCTAGTTTTTGATAATTGGTGACCAAAAGCTTGGAGAAACTGGTTGCATTCATGTTTTTTTGGAGTTACTTTATTTTTAACGTGCAATTGAAAGTAATTTAAAACAATCTTTTTCTCCTGATTAGTCCAAGATACCCGGTTAGATGTTGCTTTGGGCTTTGACTTTTGTGCTTTGCTGTTTGAAATTTTATTTTTCTTAATGGATCTTGTTATATCTGTTAAGCATTCATCTGTATCCATTACCAAATTTGTTCTTTTCTTTGGACTTGCTTCGACGATTTCTCTGTCCTCCAAAATTTGTTTATTTTTTGACTTGTTTTCTTCAGTCTGAACGTCCTTCTCTATGTGAGTGTCTTCTAGTAATACTGAGTTACTTTGTTCTCCGATTTCCATAGACTCCATAAATGCATTTTTTTTTATTTGCTTTCTCAAAATTTTCTTTGCGAGCGATTCGTCTTCAGTTTCTGACTCTTCACTGCTTTCAGAACTGTAGTATATGCTTTGTTCAAGTTCAATATCATTTAAATTTTTTCCTTTGAACTCTTTTCCTCTTCCCTTTTCCAATAAAAGTAGGACCTTAGCAACCTTAGCAGTTTGGTAGATATTTTGGGGTAACCTAAAACAAAGAATGCAAAGTGATTGAGAAAACTAGAAACTTATAGTTGTTATTTACATAATACGTATTGTAAGCTTAAGTTTTACATGCTCAATAGCTGCAAAAGAAAACAATTACTGCGTAAGTACATAATTACACTGGTGCTTACATACAAAAGAATGTTTATAAATACATTTTCATAATCAATTAATTTACCTATAAAACTCAGCATGGGTTTTCTTAGTATGTCCCATAAAGGTAGCAATTTGCTCAATTTCGTCTGGTTCCATATTCATTAATTGCAAAGTCGTAGCAATGTGCTTTCTAAATTTCGTGGATGTAAGTAAAGTTGGCTTTTCAGCTCCACAATTTTTAGCCAAACGTCCGATTATATTTGTTCCTGCCATCCATCTATTTTCAGACCCAGCATTTGCAAATAGATAAGGATTTGATTTAGGTACTATGGAAGAAGTTTCTCTGGTTTTTAAGATGCAATCTATGTATTTTTGTGTGCGTCTTGTAAAAAGGATTGGAACTGGTTTAGAACCTTTTCCACCTGTAACAACACGCTTAAACCGTTTAGATATAATTTTTTCAACAGAAGTTAATGATTCTGCAAAATCACTTTGATTACTGCCAGAATATTCTTTTTTATATGTTTCAATTTGTAAATATTGAACGTCGCCAACTCTTTTGCGATTGAATATAACTGTTTGGGCAAATACGCATTCTGTCAAAACTTTATAATTATTAGCAATTTCAATACCACTATTTAGGAAAGTATACGCTTTTTCAGCTTGTTCGTGGAGATACGTCTGCAATTTGAGTATATCTTCTGAGAGGGGTAACTCTGTAGGCTTCGCCCACTGTTTTTCTTTAATGTTTTTTAATGCTATACTTGATAGTTCATTACACCAATGTCCCTCTACAAGTTTTTTCAAATCTTTTATTTCGGATTTTTTTTCATCTTTGTTATCCCATGTCAAATTAGGAAGTTTTCTTTTTTCTAAAACAAGTTTATATGCAACATCACATAAAATTTTTAAATTGGTACCCATATGTAATGCTAAAGAAGGTGCTTTAAACTGTTTGTCATCCTCGCTATAGCCACTTATGATCTTTGCTGCCAATATTAAATTTTTAAACATTTCTGGTCTAAGCAAATCAAACATTCCACGAACATCGTTATTTATTGATTTTACTGCTAACAACATTCTTGCCATTTCTCTCATTTTATTGGAAATAACTGTCGCGATTTGTTTTCTCTTGTGTTTTGATAAAAGTGTTTCACCATACAAGCATATTAGTGGATCATTTTTTGCTGCAGCACTAATGTCGTCTGCGCGCATTATATCAAATACCTCTTTCTTGATGCGAGACGATTTTAAATAATCATGATTTTTTGACAACATTGTGGCCATAAATGTTTGAGACTTTGATGTGCATTTTTTTCCTGGGTTAGTAATATCGGGTGGCCTATTTTTGCAACGTCTTACATGCTTATAAAGTATTTTTTTATCGTAGTGTCCCAGACAATAGGTGCATACTATTTTATCATTCTTAGAAGATCTGACAGGACGCATGATGTCTTTTTCAATATAGAGATGGAAATATCCTTGTTTTCTAAGCGAAGCAACGAGAGCTAGGCGTTCTTTACTTTTTGGTTTTAGTTTTTGAATTGCTTGCACCTCTTTATTATTTGGGTGATGTCTAAATAAATGTCTTGTAAAATGTGTTACAACATCTTGATAACAAATAGGGCAAATGGTAGGTCTCTCTCTTGCTGCCGAAGTTTTAATATATTGTTCAGTAGCAACCTAAAATAGCATATCATATTTTGTCATTTAGTTACAAACGATTTATGAAAAAATTACAAAATTAAAAATATTTATTTAGTAATGAATGATTAAAAAGTAACGAAAAGGTATAAAATTAAAGGAAATACGAATATCAAAGTCACTCAATCTAAAGTTTATTCTTCAGCTTTTAGGACTAAAACTCAGTTTGACCTATGGAATAGACGTGAGGCAAATTTTAATAAACAGAACTTATTAAGTATCCATCTGCTAAAATGTGGTTATACTAAAGGTAAGAAATTACTCAAAATCAGTCCCAAAATCAGTCGATGTTACAAATTAAAATTTTAAAGAAATAACTTTGTACAGACC